CGAGCCTTGCAGATTCGTGCATTCACCTCATCTGTCACACTACAGTCAGAACTAATACAACTTCCAAGACACGTAAAACGCTCCACAACTTCCAATACCTCTCCCTGGATTGTAAGTGGCGTGTTCAGTGACCGCACGTCCCCGAACATGACCTTACACTTTGTGGGTGTAAAGTGCATACCAAAGGATGATACCAAAGGGATGACCTTGATGAGTTCATCTAAAAACACCTGCGCGTTCTCCCCGAAAATGAGAACGATATCGTCTGCATATTCCAGGTCGACAAGTTTTTCGTCACAGGCCATTTGAACGCCGGGGGTTTGGAGACCTTCCATGATTTCATCGATCACGAAGTTAAACAGGAATGGAGAGATTGGGTATCCCTGACGGACACCGCTTTGTGTACGGAAGCTTCTGGGGAGCTAGCCGTATAATCTCGCACATCCGGAAGTCTGAGAATACAAAGAGCTTATTATGTCCACTAATTTCCGAGACATTCCTTGGTGTGCAAGCGTGTCAAGAAGAACAGACCGGTCAACCGAGTCAAAAGCGCTTTGGAAATCCAGGAATACTAGAATTGTGGGTCGCTTATACGTATGACGTTGTTCTAGCACCTCGTGAAGTGTGAAGATTTGGTCAACACAACCCCTACCAGGCCGGGATCCCGCTTGCTGCTCTCGAGTCAGTGTCTCACGAGCCACCGTAAGGCGACAAAGTACAACTGACGACCGGGGTCCAGCTGATCGTTCTGTGGTTACCATACTCACTACGGGCCCTTTTTTTTAAAAAAAATGGGCACTATCACCGACTCTCCGATTGTCTAGGACAGACTCCTTTTCCCAAATGCAAGCAAACATGTCAGACAAGGGCTGACTGAGATTTTCACCCGCATTAAAGATGTCGGTGGGAGGTCTTCCGGACCAGAGGCCCAGTGGCACTTTAGAGAACATACAGTTGTAAAATTCCGAGGCAGTTGAGGGTTCCACGTTCACCGTTCAGGGTTCCTCGAGGTTTAAAGTGCCACCGTTCGGTGCTGGAGTAAGCCTGGCGGTGCCGTGCCACAGGCGAAATTCCCAGCACTATGCAAATAGGTGGCAATCTCGCTCCAGTATCAGTTGGCATCTGATGGTGAAGCATTTGGAAGAGACTCCGGAAGACGATTTTGGTAAGTTCGTCCAACATCCGGGTCTGTCAGTCTTTCAGTTGCCAGGCAATTTTTCCGCACCTTATGCGGTCCTGGAAATAGAAGGGAGAAGCGACTCCGGACGAGTGCGTGATCATAGTCCACAAATGTGTTCCAAAACGACCGGCAGTCAGTCGGTAACTGATGGCAATGTGGTCGATTTGAGTTCATGTTCGGCAAGCCTTTGGAGGACATCATGTGAACAGACGACTTCGGCCATTTCGGAAATTAGTACTGCATAAAAACAGCCTGTGGTCAGCACACAGCTGAAACAATCGTTACCATTGTCCGCACACACTGAGTCCAATCCATATCGACTTCCTAAGTAAGTCTCAGATACGCTAAGCCGGCATTCAGGTCTCCGGATACTATCAGGGTGCCCACACCCAGACAGGAAGACGATTAGTGTCCTCAACCAAAGCCTTTGGTTCCGAAGCCTGACCTCACTGTAGCGGTGTTTGGCGGGAAATGCAGTTACATTTCCATTTCTAAGGAACACGTCGCCAGACATGTCCCAACCCTGGAGGACCAGGAGATCTTTTTCTTCAGACCTCTCACCATTGACTGACCTGGTACGAGAGGCGCCACGAGTGTCGCGCGGATGCCCCCAGTATATCTCAGTGGGTCGCTGAGGTTCACCAAGTGTCACACTACGGTAAGCTCCAGTCTCTTCGTAACGTGACCATTTGGCTCATTTCCCTGGCTTTCCGTTTCATTTAAAAGATAGCACAAATTAAGAACCAGATAATCGGGTTTTTCATATCTTTTACAAGCTCATCTGTCATCACAGAGTCACTAATAATGGCGGAAGAAAAAGACCAGGCATGACGTCACGCTCTGTACAGCTCCCATTTCTTATCGGAAAGCTCTGGGAAGGAGCCGAAAATCAGTGGTATTTAATATCATCCATGCTCAACTTATGGTAAACAGTCAAGTGCTGACTGTGTGTGGCATTCTTCCATGTGTATACCCACTCGGCACTCAGCGATTCACTCGGAACTAATTACTCGGCAACGGTCACGTGACACCAAAAATAGGGGAAACTGCGATGTGTCAGAAGTCCCTGTCGTCGAGCGTGATGGCTACATTTTAGGAAATCGGCCTCAATAAGTACAAACAGTTTGTAGTCCCTACGGGGTTCGGTCTAACCTTTTGACCTACTTACAAGCGTCCTCAAGGAAGTCTGGTGGTTCATTAGAGTTCACGTGCGCGAAGTTTTGCCCGCTTTCGTTCTCACGTGCGCGAAGTTTTGCCCGCTTTCGTACTGTCGACGTACGAACCTGTACACTAGAAATTAGGAGGTTCTTCTCGCCAACACGGTATCACGTTAGGGCGTTGTGGCTGATAGGACATACTACTTAAATACTGATCTTGCATTTCGAGCAAGAAAGATCCACTATGCGGATTCCGGTCAAGATTTCAGTCTGCTACTCACGGCCTTCGCCGCGGAGTTATTTATTGGAAAATGCCAGCTGAACAATTAGAGACTATTGGACAGGGAAGCAAAACTCTCATGTCCATCTTGTTTACAAAAACTGAATATCCATCTTCGCTTTGAACGCGTCTCCCTGAACTTTCCTGGATATTCATTGACTGTTGCTTAAATGCAAGCAAATGCTACAAAGCGACTCCACAAATTCCAAACTGATCTCTTTTCAAGAGACGCAAAGCGGATTTACGAGAAAGCATGCTACTCGCATGCCCTCCAGTCAGTAGTATCACCGTTACAACAGTACATCATGCTCAACAGTCGAGGAGCACGGCGTAATTGTTTCATTCTGCATCCCACGAACTTCTAAGAGATTCGAACTGATGAACCCCCCGTTGGTAGTTAAGCCCTATACCACTCAGCCACAAGTGTTTGATCGGTTAAATTTAGGCAGAAAAAGTGCAAACTATTTCACGGGATCTACTTCACGTGTTGATGCCTCAAATGGAAGACTCAAGGAGCTTGTGAGTTTTCTTTCCATAACCGATTTCCCACAAATAAATCCGTCTGTTTGAAAGTGCCTAATGTGACCTAACCTTAGATGTGACTAGCTCGTGGTCATTAGCAGTAAACAGTGTGATCTAAAACCATCAATGAGATTGGCTTTCACTCCCTTGTGTCTCTCTCTACAAGCACTTTCGATTAGGGTTTCCACAAAATGAGTTACGGCGAGATAATGAAATTGTCCTAAGATGGATTTTTAGGTGACTTACGTGCCCCGTCTTCTCCTGAATTGTAGAAATTATTGCTGGTCTCCATTCCCTAGTATTATTTCAAAACCCATGGCATGTATCCGCATGGTGGAAACATGAAACAACTGAATAACGTTCGCTAGTGCACTGGTTCTCAAGAAAGAAAGGAACAAAAACCTGCTTTATTTCGTGTGCGTTTTTTCACATCTCAGCTGGACTTTTTCAAGGCTGTGGAAGCGCCTGTGTTGCTGGAGGCCAGTGGGATTTATCTAGTGGCCTATCCTGAAGGAAGACCCACTGGGGACGCTTTTGTTCTATTCAGCGATGACAAGACTGCCACAAGAGCGTTGCTGCGGCACAAGGACTATTTGGGTGATCGGTACGTTGAGTTGTTCAAGGCATCCCCGTCAGAAATGGTGCAAGTAAGTGTGTGAGGTTCCGGACAAGCGCTCTTCTTTTTTTACCTATATAGTGTGGCTCAGCCGTAACATCGATTTGTGTTCTAATCTACCTTTCTGTGTGAGAATGTGGCCTTTGGGCTTAGCGAAATGCACACATTTGCAAACTAATTTGGTCTTTGCGAGAGACTCACCTGGGACCCAGCTGAATCTCTCGATGTCTTCGGGCAACTGAATGTGCTGTACCAGGCCGCCTCATGTTTCAGTCGCTACGATAATCGAGATATCGTATTCGTTATGCACTACTCGTAAGGTTGCTGAAAACTCTTCGACAGCCCACGATCGGTTTCGCCCCTCTTGGGACTCATCGGGTAGGTGCAGTCCCCGAGTTTCCGTGAACTGAAATCGGACAGTTTTTGAGAAAAACCCTAACTCAGGGTCTGGTTCTAATTAGCATCCGAACGGGTGAACACAGGTAGTTATCCTATCACCAGGTCCTTGGGCTACTATTTTTGCTCTCTTTGTTACACAACTTCATATGCGATTAGACTACCACCACGCCCACTTCACTTCTCACCCTCCCGTTTATTTCCTCAGTGGCTACTTTGCTAATGATCGCAAGTCTCGACACACACACACACACACACCGATAGAGGGTTTGCGAACTGGAGACGTCCCAGTCCTCCGAGCCTGTACGAAGTAATCGCCCACGGTAATGGAAAATATTGAGTTCCTCATTCCTGTAGGCTATCCGTAACGCTCTTCAGACGAGTTAGCAGGAGCTTGTACTGGTATGGGAAAGGCTGTCAGTTCTGTTGTTCTGACGTTTGTCACACTTAATCGATCGCATTTGTGCGATGTCTTTGAAGTTTTACTGAAAATTAGAACAGTTGACCGAAAAACATCCTAGACGAGAGATTCAGCTGGGCTCCAGATGAGTCTACCGTCAAAACTAAATTTGTTTGCAGATTGGTGTATTTTGCGAAGTTCGAGCAATTTAGTTTTAAGTAGAACATGTGGACGAAAACTGGGGGGTTGCGCCTACCTGATTAGCCCCAAGAAAGGCTTCTACCGTCATAACTAAGTTTGTTTGCAAATTAGTGTATTTTGCTAAGTTCGAGCAATTTAGTTTTAAGTAAAACATGTGGATGAAAACTGGGGGGTTGCGCCTACCCGATTAGCCCCAAGAAAGGCGAAATCGGTCGTCGGCTGTCGACGAATTTCCAGCAACTTTGTGAGTAGTGCATTGCGAATATACATGACCTGTGGGCTGTTTATAAAGTAAGCCAACAAGCCTAGAATTTGCGTTCTTCTTCGTGCGTTGTAAATTGCTCTCATCATCGCATCCCATAAACGAACGCAGACCATTCTGTATAAATTTCTCCACAAGGAACGTTTTGTACTTGACATCTGCACCTGAATAGGCAATTTTCATAAGCCAGGCAATTGTCAGGAGTCACAACCGTGAGCATTAAAAAACAACAGCTCTGACGGAAGAAACATTCCGGGTATACCAGAGCTTCATTATGTTCAAGTTTATTCAGTAGGATTTTACGTTTAGTTCCCTCAATTTTTTCGTATACAGATGGTGCATCTATGCTTATTACCCATTACTTAATCTTTCAGGTATGTCACAACGTATCCAAGCAACTGGTTGGCTCGCACTGTTCGCAGAAGTTACCGGGCTCCTCAGGAGATCAACAAGTTCGAACACGTTCGGCCATCAACCTAGCCGCCGGCAGTTTACAAACTTTAGCTCCTTACGTCCTCCAGAGTCCATCTGTCTCTGTGGCACTGGCCTCGATGAAATCTCCCGGATTTGGTTTAAACGCACTGTCCTCTGTCCCACTACAGACAAACTTTCTCTCACCCGGACTCCTACAGCTTGGTCTCCGATCTTCATTTTTGCCCACTCTTGACCAGCTGACTACAGCTAACCTCGGTCTTCCGCTAACCAACATGCTCCCCGCTCAACTACTTGGGCAAACCCATCTACTCAATACACCTTCAGTCCCTACAACAAGCCTAGGAGTTATGACCATGCCTTCAAGACAGCTCATCACCGAGACTGCCACAAAGGACTTGAAGGATCCCACAGATCCAGACTGTCCATACGCACGACAGTTACCTCCGGCTGGTGTAACAGCGATGATTCAGATGAGCGGACTTCCAGTAGAAACTTCAAGGCATGATATCCGGTTGTACTTGGGTCCGGTCAATATGGCCAAGGTCTATCGCATGCGGCAGATGGTAAGCCATTTATTCAATGAAGAGAAACAGGGGGTTCCAGTTCTTTTACTAGAACAGCTCTAAACTCAGGCCGTTGTCACTCAACATAATCTTGCGTAGGAACACACTGCCTTATCAGCCACACTGAGCCAACCACGCAAGCATCTTTTGGTCTCCTGTAAATATCCTTTTCCCATTAAAGTTTTCTCGTCTTTACAGGACCCAAAACCCGATCAGACAACGTCAACCTGGCTCATTTCAGTCTCAAACACGGTCGAAGCTATTCATCTGATTCGCGACCTCGTGAACAGACCTTTCAGTCTGACAAACGGTTCAACGACAGGTGTGGCCAGAGTTATTCCAAACGTACCAACATTCTCATTGTATCACGTTGGCGCAGATAAATCGGTTGTCCCTGCCCTGCTCTCAGACCCCAGCTTTGGTATTCCACTAAACCGGATCTATGGAGTTGCTTCGGAACCTGTAAATGGAGAGAGCTGGAATTCATCTCCACTTCCCAACACACAACTTACTGACACGGGACAAGTGTTGCTCAAGGGAGCCCTAACAGAGAGTACCTCACGTGCGCTGGAGATGAATTCCAACCTTGTCAATGCAACAAGGTTACCGGAAGCTGTAAATAATCAAATGGTTCAAAGTAAGTAAATAATAAGTAGTGAGTATTGAATCTCAGATACGTGAAGGTCCAACTTCTTCGACATAAACCTCACAGCCCCTCACATAATGAGATCCTCGAGCGTGTTGAATGGAACAATGAAATCTTCAGCTCTTAACTCTAGGACATCGTATGCAGACCAATGAGAAAGTTACCGGGTTTCAAGCCTAAATGTTGCAATTACACTCGCCTCTTCGGCACAAATGGCAGAGGAGGCCTTGTAATCTTACACTTGGAAAAGAGCATAGGGCTACAGTCAAATTCACTAAATTGTAGCAAGCAAGCCGGTTTTATCAGGTCAGCTACGTATTTCACCGCAATGGAACAATGATGGCCAAAGCAATTCACTTGACATCTCCCGACCAGGTGGATATCGTCCCTCATTCGTTTTCGCCAACTTCCAAGCTTTTCGTTCTTAATGCTTAGTATGATACTTCATGGATTCAGATTCATCATGGTGCTGTGTAGTTCAAAAAATCGATGAAAGTTTGCTCCTTTAGTCATTTCGTGTGTTGTCTTTGGAACTTCTTAATACGTTTTCGATCAATTAGAAAAAGTTTGGAACCGTCTGAGAGGTCATCGTTTCAGAAGAGCTTGGTAAATAATTGGTAGTTTTTATTTGGGCGATGTTTCGCTTTTGACACAGAGGCTTCATCAGGTCAAGTGAGCAGGTCACCAAATTGGCCAGGTTATAAGACAGACGGGGAATCTTCAGATTATCACACTAGATCAGTGTTGAGTGTCAATTAACGGCTCTTATCGGCTGGTGTGGGTGCCAAAATCTTGAATTGATGGGCTAGAGGAGTTTCAAATTAGTTCCGATCGCTTTTCGTTCCTTAATCTTCCACTCCGGGGTGCTTCACTTGATGTTTCACCTTGAGTGCCACCGGTAGTTGTTTTAGGATGAATCCATCTTGATGGTAAGCGACCTGGCCTCGATTAGGAGAACCAGCTCCGAACGCAACCGAACTGCACAGCTGCCAGTGGAATAGCCGTTTTTGTTGGAACGTTTAATTGGCTGTTCTTCCACTGTCCTTGACAGATGGGCTTTATTTTTCGTTATACCTTTTGGTTTGCCTAGAACTTTCCACGTGCGCTTTATAATCAGCTGGTTCTCGGCTATACAGAATATGCCTGTTCAACAGATCAGCTGACTCGCACGTTCATTAGCTTTCGGGTTTGGCTAAGCGCACCAGGCTATCCAGACTCGGGTTCACAGTATTAAGAAGGCATTAGGAAAACTGTGTTTCACAGCAGCCCAATACTGATCATAACATTGACTGGTTACTTCAGTTGGGGATCACTTAATTGATCACTGGCATTTCACATTTGGGGAGGTGAAGTTAGGCGAATCTCCAGCTCCCTGGTTCCAAGTTCGACAGAAGGACTGAAAGACGCCTCACCTTGGCAACGCGTCGAAATATTAGTGAGAGAAAGAAGGCCTTCACTGCGGGGTTATTTATTAGGAAATACCAAATTACCGGTTACAGACGAGTGGACAGGGAAGCAAAACCCTCGTTTGCATCTTATTTACAAAAACTGGATATCCATCTTCTCCTGAACGCGTCTCCTTGAAATTCACTGGATATTCATTGACTCCAATCATTCACTGCTCAAATTCAAGCAAATGTTACAAAGCGACTCCACAAATTCCGCAACAGATCTCCCATTTTTCAAGAGACGTAAAGCGAAATTCCACGAAAAACACATACTACTTGCATGCCTCCCCACCAGTAGTATCATTGTTACATTAGTAGCTCAAGTGAGTTTAATGGTTGTTGATGAGGTGGCTGTTCGTATTTCCGCCGAGTTTGGGAACTAACTTACAAATGTATCTTCACCATACGGAGAGACATCATCCGTGTGCCTTGACGTTCACTCGAAAAACGACGCGAATGGCTGCCAGCTTAATTACATTTTCCACCATTGCAAATTGCAGTGCTCATTGATTATAGTGCCTTCATTCGAATTAGTTGTGCACAGCTCACTAGAGCGGAACTCGTGTTGATCTACATCTTTCAAGAGAAAGGCATCTCTAAAAGGTCAACAGACCAACAAACAAAACCTTTTGTAAGCGTCAGTGGGACTAGTATCCCCGTTATTCTCTTCCCTGTTTGTTGAGTACACTTGAAGTTAGTGGCGAAATAGTTGGAAGACAACCATAGCCTTTAGCTTTCTGTGGTGCACAGTCTTGTTTTGGTTCTGCCAAACCATTGACAACCGATGAAACTCTGGGTCCGAACAATTGGATTAACAACCCTACTACGGGTGTCAACAGACAGAAACTGTTGTAAATTCTCGCAATGTTGAATACAGCTAGCATGCTGCAGTCAAACACCGTTTAGGAGTAAAAGCATGTTTCTGTTCGACCGACTGCGCTTGGCCTCGCTCAGACTCATCCTATCCAGACGTTCCATTCAGTTTGACTGCGCTTTTTCCCGAACACGTAACAGTGTGACTCTGGAGTAAGTTTTTTCAATGTTTTTCAATGGTATTGGATTTGTGCGAAGAGTGCAAAATGGATCCAGAAATGGGTCTACTTCGTGCAAATAAAAGGATAAGTATCCGGGTGTTGGTGGTGTTTCAGCTCAAACAAATCACTCTTCTTGTTTGCACTATTACTTTGAAGTCAGCTCGCTCCCTTCTGTTATGTCTATCAGGACCTTGTTAAAGCAGTCCATCATAAAATCAAGAGACAATCCATTGATTCACACACGATGTGGGTATATGCTTGATTTCCCACAGAAGATGACAACTCTCGTCGGAATTTACTTCCAGAATTCACAAGAATAGCACATTGATTGACAAGCGTAAAAACATTAAAGTGTGAGAGATTAAAGCAAAATCTATGGCACCAATCCTTGATTGAGAATCATTCCAATGCCGTTTTCCGTTTGAACCGCCTCAAAACCTTTGTGCGTCACTTAGACATACACCTAAACGAGTGTGTAGAAAACGCTTTTCGACTGGCTGTTTTTCGTTCCTGTTTCAAAGCTACTGAAGGATATTTGAATCTCCGTACATTCACTGTGCTGATGTATCGGTGTATGCTACTGATGAGGCATGCAAGTAGTCTATGGTCCAATGTTCATGTTGTTAGACACGAAAGTAAACATCTCATCTGCACAGAGTTTTTGAAAAGTGAACATTATCCAGCGTCCTAGTGAAATTTTCTGGACTTGTTAGACAGAAAGTAAACATCTCATCTGCACAGAGTTTTTGAAAAGTGAACATTATCCAGCGTCCTAGTGAAATTTTCTGGACTCTCACTGAGAATTAAACAGTAGTAAACGAACACTGCAAAGCGATTCCAAATTTTCTGTAGTTCTCGTTTTTGAAAAAGTTTGATGACGTTCGGTAGATTTATTGCTGGGGCAACGTCTCGCTTTTCACACAAAAGCTTCTTCAGGCCAAGTTACTAGGTTCCGAGGTTGGTCGAGATTTAAGGCGGAAGGAGAACCAATCAGCTAAGTCAAGCTAAATCTCTGTTGGGTGTCGGCCGAGGGATTTTAGTGTGTTAGAATGGTTGAACAAGTGTTGGGTCGGCTGGGAAACCTACATGTGCTTGGGTCCAACCTAGGGTCTAGTCCTTCTGGTTCGGTTCATTTGATGGTTCCTCTTGAACTTCGTTTGAACCTTCTGTCCATCCGTGTGGGTGACCTAGTGCTAAGTTAGTTGTGTAAGAGGGATGCTGTGACCTTTGGTCGGTTGGGGTTTACATCCCCATCCCCCCGTTTTTTCTAATGATCCTACGTGGATTGACAACCACACCGTCACCTGTCAACTCGGCTTATCTAAGACCGCTTTCCATACGCTTGCTAGCT